TATATATATATATGTTTGTAAGTGCTGCTAGGCATAAAGGATCCGATGTGTGTGTGTTTGTTTGTGTGAGTTTGTGCCTATGTGTATAGTACGCAAATCGGCTATGAAGTTAAGCGCATGTCTTTAGCATACGATGTTTTCGGCCCATAGTTATGACAATAAAAAAATTTTCTTTATTTTCTACAGTTGAAACTGCTTATTTTTGTTACCGAAAAAAAAGCTTTTTTTATAAAACATTTAATATTTCTTTTAAACAGTATGTCTATTATTATTATACCATCATGTATATACGTAAATCGTTGCATCAGTTCACACGTTTACGACGATTTTTTGATAGAATCAACATCTATCAGAGAGAAAAAATTTCAAAATGTATAATTTTCAGTATGTGAACATTTTGTTTATCACGACATTATCACCACTAATAAAATACGGGGCGACTCAATCACTCACATTCACAAAACTTCGTACGGTCTACCAGAATTACTTGGTATATATAAACCTACAAATATATATATTTTTTGATTCGACATGGCCTGTTTGGGCGCTTTGACTGGTCAGTTGGAAACAATAATAGATTTTATGGATTTTATAAAGGGCTCTTTTTTTAATGATCTGCTTGATTACAGATGGTTTAGCTTGGAAAAGAATGGCAGTATTTGAGGACACGTTGATTGAGTCGAATATTTTTGCTTTTGCTGGCATACCACGGACCTCGTCAATTGCGTCAGTCGTACAGTCATGGTCTAATAAGGAAGTCCTTCACTGGCTAGAAGGTTTGTCTATCTATTTTTTTCTCATATGTATATTTATAAATGATTTTGGTGGGTTTTAATTATCTCACTGATTCTTGAAAAAATAAGTGGCAGTTTATGCTGGAGAAGTGTTATTTTAAATCGGACATTTAAATGTGTCATTTTCTGAAATAGCTAAATTTTTCTTTCTTGCCTTTGTTGCATTTTGTTCTTCTAGTCTAAAATGTGGTATTTGTTTCATTTTATGCTGTATTAATGTTTTTCGGGGTTCTCTGGGAGACTAAGGAAGTGAGGAATGACTTATTTTTTGACATCGGTAAGTTATCGGCTTAGATTTGCTGGTAAATTTTAGTTTCTTTTTCTTTTAGGTTTTATCGGTAGCATTTCAGGAATCGATAGTTCAGTTTCTCATTATAGCGATATGATAGAAAAAAGCCAGATAGATGGGAGGGATTTGTTGCTTCTTGATGAAGATGCTATTTATGATATGGGAATTACCAACTTTGGCGTTGCCAAGATGATTTTTCAGGCGATTCAAATTCTCACTGACTTTGTATGTTGCCGTTCTGGCGCAGACTTTTGAAATATTAATCTTCTGTATTCAATTGTTTACTTTTTGTATTTCTACTTCTTTAGTGACACCAAGTTTTTTTCAGTGTTACAATGTGGGGGAAGAGAATTTGCAAACGTTATGCCTGAATGTTTGTGTCTGTGTCCGCCAGCTGGAGTGTGATATTAAGAACATTCAGCGTTCTTCACAGCAACAGTTTTCTCAGTCTGAGCTCATATCTCTAAATAATATACTTTTTTTATCTGTTTGTCAGGTTATAGAACAGCTGAAAAAGGTTCTTGTTTGGCTTGATAGGTGAGTTTGGAATTATGTGCAGTCAGTTGTGCTAATTGCTTTAGGGTAATGTGTTGACAGTGCACTCAGTGTATTTAAAATTTTATTCAGAAGTCCCTTTGATCGGGTTTCGTCCTTTATTGAATTTCGTTCCGGTATAATGCAAGACTGCTTATCACTATTACGTGCAGTGTGTGATCCGTATTTAAATAAGCACTTTTCCGAAGTTGTTGACTTGATTAATGAGGTAAAGGGTTGATTAAACAAGCATTATGAATTTTATTATTTACTTTTTTGTTGTTCTAGAGGTCTTTGATATTCTTTTCGTTAACTGATAGCAGCATTAATTTTCATTATTACAATTAATGGGCTATTTGTGATTGCACTGCCAAATTGGTGCGTTTGGATCTTCTCTCAATTTTTTTTTGGAAAATTGAGTCTATGTTTCATTCGCTCGTTCCTATGCATTATTAATTTAGATTGCAAAAAGCGTCTACGAAAAGTGTGACTCCATTGTTACTACTTCTTTGGATCCTATGGTTTGTTACACAACCTCTTTTGAAACTGCGGTACTGCGAAAGACTAAGGATAGCCTTGCCTGGGTAAGAGATCAAAATAAATTCAAAGAAATTATTACATTTATTTGTAAAGAGAAAGGGGCCGATTTTATTTCCTCTCAAAGAGTTTTTTACTCTTGAAGAATTGAAATTTTCCTTGTTTGCCTAAAAATCTACACTTTTATTAACTCATTTTTTCTTCTGCTTATTTATTTTCATTTTTTTTAGTTTTGCCTTTTTTTTATTTACATCTTATTGACCTTTGTGGCACTGATCTCTTTGCTATTTTTTACTTACGATCTACACATAATGAAATGTTGGCAAACTAATGGGCATATCAATTTAATCCTGCCACTTCACGCCCAAAGGAATTATTGGTTTGCCAAAGCAGTGACAGTTACGCCTCCCACTCTAAACAAATGAAATTTAAAAGTGTTTTATTTATTTCCACTTTTCATTGTCTCAAGTTTACTGCTTTGCTTAAATTAGTGGGTAAACTTTTTGTGGCTTTTTAGGGTTTCAATCTACAGTCCTCGTATCGCGGAGTTCATGTAGTATGCGAAGTAAAATTGCTTTCACCAGCCGACGCGTGCGGTGAAGTCGATGCAGGGGATGAGATCTTACAGGTTACATTTTTTCCTTTAAGGAATTGGAAATTTGCATAGATACTTTTGATAAAGCTGAACACGTGGTTTTTTACTTCTTTCTGGCTACTTCTTAATTTGCTTGTGGGTTACAGATTAACGGAGAGATGGTTTTGGGTTGGGAACTGAGAAAAGTTGCTACAAGACTTTCATCGTTCGCACTGAATGAATGTTGTCGGGAGTTAATTCTGTTTGTTAACAAGCGTCCCAGAGAACCAACTTTAGTTCCACGTCTGCCTAGGCCAAGCTTAAAAGTTGAAGCGACTGGAGCACGAAATTTTAAACGGAAGCCTAGCGCTCTGCATACGCTTTTAACGGAAGAAACTGAAGTCATTGATGAAGTACATTCCTTTTTGTTTGTTTGATTAATTATACTGCATAAAAAGGAATTCGCAATAATGGGTAGTTTTCAGAGTGGTAGCGTTGTCTTTGACAGCACTTGTCTGAAATTTTATGACACTTAAAACTGATTTCTGCCATAATAATTCTTTGAATATATTAAAATTCTAGAGGAAAAAGCGATCCAGTAAACAAGAATCACCAGGCCTTTCATTACCTCCTGACACAGCAATGACAACTTCGTAAGCTTGTATATTCTGCTTCTATCTTTTTTATTTTTAATGTCTGCACTTCTTGTTGGAGTGCTAAATGATTTTTAGTAATGTTTCGGTCTATTATGAAGGGCATACTTTCATTCAGATATATTTTTAAGCTCAACGAGTACTGACCTTTTTGTTGGCGAAACTTTCTTTGATAATCGTATACGCTTGATTCGCCGAGCAACGATCTCCTGTGGAACACCGCCTCCTCAGATTCCACTGCACCAACCAATAGATCGTTCTCAGTCCCTAACTATTGCGTTAATGATGATGGGTATGGAAGACGAACTACATGGGTCGGGGACTAGAGAAGTTAAAATGAGTTAGATTTTGATTCTGTGTTAAAGTTTTAGCGTTGTTTATACGAATTATGGTCACTTGATCCACTCTTAGTAAATGTTCTTTTGCTTTATTCGTTTTGATTTTTTAGCCGAAGAAACTGGTATGCAAGTGGAAATGGTAATTAGGCGACGCAGGACAATGAGGCAACAACCAGGTGGCTACGTAAAGTCCTTTGTCGACAACCAACCAATATGTGAGTTAGAAAATGGGTTTTTGGATGGGACTGATAACAAATATAATGAAGAAGAAACGGAAAGTGCTTGTACTGCAGTCTTTGTCGGGAAAGGACCAAATAATTTAGATGAAGCAGGTCAATTTTCTTCTAGTTGTTTAATACGAAATTTTATAATTTTTTGGCTTTTCTGCAAGATTTCAGTATGATTTAAATAGTTATACGCTTGTACTATTCAGTTTTTTGTCAGTCTTGGTGTTTCCAGGAAAATAAATGTGAAAACATCAAATATTTGACATCCTTAGAAATTTACCTTACCGTATCACTTAATTTGAATTTGTTAGGGGGCAAATGAAACGATGTTGAAACCTTTAAAGAGGAGATTGTTTTGCATATCAAATCGTTTCTGTAGTTAAAAAATAACTCTGAAGCAATAAATATCTCTGAATCTGCCAGTTAGAACATAGCTTTTATTCCACTTTAAAATACTCAAGGCGTATTTGCTGAAAAATATAGCTCGTTTTTGAGGAAACTTCTGAGGCTAATAGAGATTGGGAAACAGTTTTAAGGATTTGCAACGAATAAATTTTAAATTTCATATGACTTTATTGATGAGGAGGTTTTAAGAAAGCGAGAAGGAACCAGAGCGCTACGCAGTAATTGATGTTGTTGATCAGTGCGATCTGAATTTGCTAAACTTGCCTCCATTAGACGATTCTGAGTGGTCTTCTGTACTACACTTATCCCTTTCTTCCCTTATAGACGACCAAGAATCGTTAGAGCGAGAAGATTCTAGTACGATTGGGTACACATTGATTCTGAAAATAACAAACTTCAAGAATGTTTCTTTTCAGGGACAGGGCTATGCAATTCAATTTTGGTTCACTTTACTGATATCGTTTTTGATTTTATTTCACTGCTTTATGTAGACGTTTCTACTCAGCCCTCGTTCTCTATTTAGTGATGATGGTTCAACAAGGAGTGCTGGGAAGTTAATATCAAGTCATGCAGAGAACACGTGGCATTTCCCTTCTAGTCGTATTCTTCCGAAAATAAAGCCCTGTATTTCTTCCTCGTTCAGATCCAATATACATGCTGTAAAATATTTTTAGATGTGCTTTTGTAGCTTTATCTTCAGACGTTTAATTGGTTTAATTCTCCATAAAAGTGATTTTTTAAGCCTATCGCAGAAACGGATGAAACTTCCTTAGGGTGGGATAGCGACACTGAAAGTGAAATCAAATATCCTGGTAACGCTCAAGATGAAGAAACAGCGGCTGCTGTTAAAGGTAAGATGTTTTCTGCCAAAAATCTCATAATTTTCTCATCTCGTGACACAGACTATAATTTTTTTTTCAAGTTTCTTACCAGTAGTCTACATTTTTTAGTGCCATGATTTTTAGTAACTAACTTATTTTGTTATAGGAAAATAATTTTTTGTAGTTTATTTGTTGGTAACAAGAGCTTTCTTTTTTTTCAACTAAGAGAGTTAAATTTTTTAAGAGAAATTATTTATTTAACAGTTGTTATATTTCATTCATTTGTCTATCTTCTTTTCTTGTGTTGTTACTGTTATAGAAGAATGTGTACTGTCAAATCTTCTTCGGGATCTTAGTCGTATTCCGTGCGCAGAACTACAAGACAAGCAACAAAAAGGATGGATCAGAAGAAAACGGCTGGAACATGAACCATCTTCCAATAAATGGATTAAATGTTGGATGGTTCTCTGTTCAGGCGTTTTGTACATATATCAGAACCAATACGTAGGCGAACTTTTCAATACATCACTCTATTTTTCAATTTTTTGGGTAGAAACTGTGCTGAATTTGAGGGAAGAAATTTTAAATCCTTTGCAAATCTACAGATTTCTACAAGTACAAGACAAGCAATTTTACGTCGTTGCTTCCTCTTCACTTGAAGAAAATCATTTGTCCTACTTCTTTAGGCACTGCAAGCGGACATTGTAATTGCTGTCGCGAAATTTATAGTGTCAGATGCTCCTGAGCTCAGAACTTCCAAAAAGTAGTAAGTTTTTCAAAAAAGCTTTTGAACTTTTTATTTTATCCTGAAACTGCTGTTCTTTTCAGTGTTTTTCGACTGTGCCGGAATTCTTCAGCTTTTTATTTCTCAGCTTATAATCTTACTGATATGAAGAAGCAAGTTTTAACATTTGTATGTTTATACGTTGTATCCAGTTTTTAGTGTATTTTATTTAGACCTTTATAACTTTCAATGTGTCTTTAAAAAAGAGGTATTAAACTTGCGTATTTTGATTCACTCTTTGGCCTCTTATGGTAGTCAAGACAGTATTCAATTTAATATGTGATTCATTAGTCATGGATTTAGCTCAGAATTGGCTAGTTGTTTTGCTAGAACACTTTTGAAATAATGAAATTTCTTTTTAATTTAAGGACCTAACTGATCAGGAAGTGTACAAAAATGACTAAATTACTAGCCGTGAATTGGAAAATTCGGAGTAAAAATAACTTGGTTTTTCTAGTCTTAATGAACAGTAGGGTTAGCTAAATCGTTCGGTTCCGCATAATTTTTTCAGCACAGTAACTTGGTTTTAATTTCAGGTGGATGAATAAACTTGGTTTAGCAGCTATCTGCTATGACCAAACGGCTGAGGAACGTGAGCAGTCTGATACGCTCTCCCGCTGTGAGTAATGCTTTTGGTATTTTTGCTTCATCAGAAGTCTTGTTTGTGCTTTAACTACTTCTGGGCGGCTTCTTTTAAAAAATTTGTTTGTAGGATTAGAAATCTCTGTTTAACGGAAGGTAGTTGCAAATTATCAATAAATTTAACTGAAACTTTTTAAGCTATGGTTTTCATCGCGTCCTTGGATGATTCGGCAAATCCTCCATTTCACTCCTCGTCACCGTCCCCTCCTGTACATCACACTTTACCACGTGCTAATGTCGGTGGTTCAAACGCAAGACGCGCTGGACGCATGCCTCGTCAGAACTCGTTGCACAGTCCCAGGAGTTCTCCATACTCTGCAGAACTGAATTCTTCGGGCAATTTTTTTACCGGGAAATTTTTTAAACGTAATGAGTCATTTGAAAGTTAAAAAAGTATATATTTGATTGTTTAGAGCTGTTCTTTGTTTTTTGTTCAGTAGTTGTGTAGAAAATTATGTGGTGTGCTGGACACATCTTTATGAACATTATGTGTTAGCTTTAAAAGAAGGGGATTTGAGATGAAATTTGCTTCTTACTGTGCTTTGCAAGTCTTTAGGTCCTGCCTTTCTTACCTCTTTTATTTTTGAAAAGTGGTATGAACCTACACTTAGAGTTTGAACTGAGATGGATGGTAACTTTAGTCGCAGTTATTTTACTTTAAATTTGTTTTAACATTTGTTTCATTTCATTCAGAGTATATTTTAAAAAACTTACTGTGAGTTCCTAAAATTTTGTAAAAGAAAGGGAAATTTCTTATACATTTAGTTTTTTGCTTTTGTTTTTGTACAGACCCTCAGTTTCGATGAGGAAAAAAGTAGAACTGCATACATCTGGTTTTGTTTTATTCCTTTCATGTAAATGTTTTTACACAGGAAGATGTAATTTTTACTGTAGAATTTTGATTTTTACTGGCGAGAAAAACTTAGTATAGATTCTGTTATAGAAAAGGCTTAGAAATAATTGTAACACTAGTTATAATCTTCAGTAGTTTATAAAGTACTGTTTTTCTTATTTTTTTTTTTGACGTGTTTGACTGCAACAGTTATTGTTTTAAGTTTCTTTGCTCGTCAGTTGGCAGTCTGACTTAATTGTTTGTTTTGCGGGTTTTTACTTTGACCTACCAGTTGTATGTGTATAGAATGTTTTTCAGACTATGTAAGAAGTGAGGAAAGAAGGACTACTTGATCAGGTCATCATTTCTCACCTGCTATTTGGTTTTTTTTTTGTGTAGCGTTGTTACGTCATGTCTTATGTATATTCATTTACTTTTAGGACCACTAATAATTTTTATTTGAATTTTCCAGTTTTTTATTTGGCATTCAAAGCACTTTTACTTTTTTGCTACATTCTTTATTGCGATACTGACCAAATGAGCCTTATTTGTACTGCTAAATTACTACTTTCTGTCCTCTATTTTGGAACTTTTGTGGCCGTTGGTTGCGCAGAAAAAAACTTGACAGATTTTTTTTTAATTCTTAAAAGATTCAACCTTTATTGAAGTCTATGAAAAAACCGAAAAATTCAAGAAGAGATTCTAAGCCGCAAGTGGCCATAACAAAAGTGCCTTGCTTATCCACCACCTATCAAATCACAGTACTTTCATATAGATTTATCTTGTAGCGCTTTATTGTACCATATCAATTTACCGTTCTTCGAAAAAAAAAAGTTTTCTGTTTTTTAGGACGTAAAAATGAACCGTTTTCAGTGCTTTAATTTTGCTTCACAGTGAACTAAGTTTGTATATTATTCCAGTCAGAATTGCTGTGGCGTTTGCAACAAAACAAAGGAGTTCAACAGGTGTTTACACTTTTTTATATCTTGAAGAAAGTTTTAAAAAACGATTCATTGGCTGTTTGATAAAAGTTTTATCTCAATTGACTTTGCTTTTAGCAGTTTGAAGAAATGCCGTTGTTTCAAATGGTTTGCTGAACAAACCAGGATTTTTCTACTTTCCAACCATTATTTTTGTTGGTAATTTTATGGTCAATTACGGGATATTGAAGAAATGGTTATTAAGTGTTGAACGTACATTTGTTACGATTTGAACTTGATAGTTTTTCAAGTCAGTTTTGTAGGTGGTTAGAGTCTTAAAATTTGGTATGTTCGAAGAAGATGAAAGGAAAAGATGGGATACACAAATGCGACTTTCATAGAATTGTTTGCCTAAATCAAAGTTTTGTGGAATAAGTCTAGTTTTTTGCTTCAGTGCAGAATGCAGAAATATAATCGGTCGTTGAGAATATTGTTTCAATTTTTGACGAGCCGGTATTTCAGGGGTTCATTTTTTTTTGTTCTGCAATGATTTTTTTAATTTTCTGGATATTATTACAAGTGGTTTTTTGCGAACAACTGGCATCTGTGTTATCAAACGATTACAGCACAGAAGAGAGGAAATTTTTACTTTACGATGTTAATTATGGAGAGGGTTTCAATCTTAGACGCGATGTGTATATGAGGTAATAAAGCAACAGCTATTTCTAACACTTCGCCCGACTAACATCTGTTAATCCGAACTGGCTAACATCACTGTAGAGTAGCAGTAAAATGGCTTGTTTAAGCTGACACTATTTGCATACATATTTTTTTCGCAGCTACCTCATTATTGGTACTTTGAAATAAAAAAGCTAGAGAAGATCTTGTTTGTCAGCATCGGTTTTTTTTACCTTTATAACTGACATAACTAATCCCCCAATTTTAATTTATTTTGGGATTGTGAGTATTACGATAGTTTTTGAATGGTGGTTGATAAACTTGTCATTCTTAATTCCTCAGGATACTGATTTATGTGTAAACTGAGTATGCTTTAGAAGTTTGATCATAATTACAGTGTTGTTGGTGTTTGTTGGCGAAAAAACCAACAGTAATGAACTAACCTTTGCGTGTTTAGAGTAGCTAATACGGTACGTTTATTGAGAAATAATGGTCACAATTATATATTGGTGCTCCCAGCATGGGGTGGCCTGTATCACTGGAAGAAACGGTCAAACAAATTACCGTGGTCAACTTTCTTTGACATAAACAGTTTAAACGATTTCGTTCCGGTTATTGAATTCCAGGACTTTCTTCAAGGTAATTTATTTGCTGTATGAGTTTTAGTTACTACGTGTATATCATTAGTTAACCATGTGAGGTCTTTCTAGTTCATCTGGGAAACAGCGGAAATCCAAGGGTCTACTTTAATCTTTTTTTGGTCACTTTCTACACTTTCTAGCTAGATGCATTTATAATTTAGAGATTAACCACGACGGTATCGACGAAGTTGCATATCTTCAGGCTTATGCAGAAGGGTGGACTTCCGGAAACTATGAGATAAAGTTTGACAGAAGGCCATGTATTCAGGGCCACCAGTATTATAGATTAGAGGATGGAAAATGGTTTGTTTAACTATATAAATAATCATATTTGTGAGCGATAGGTGCTTTTGAGTTGTTGTTTTTTATCTCTGGTTATTTTGCTACCACTCTGTATAGTTGGCTTTTTGAGATGTTTTCAGGCGAAGCTGGTTTTTTTCGTATGAATATGTTTGGGCTAAGAACTTTTCTTGCATATCGATCCAAGGAGATTCAAATACGCTGACCAAAATGATCGAAAGTTATTATCCCGACGCTCCTACTTTATTTGTTGATAGGGCAGAACAAATTCTTCATAGTGTTTTTGGTGACAAATATTACTGGGAAGCAAGAAGATCTATGCGATATGCACCGCATTTGGTAAAAATTGGCGACAAATTTAGGTATGACAACGCTCTGATGCAAATACTTACACAATTTCTTTATCAAGAATAGCCTAGTATTTTAAGGAAAGAGAAATTAGGCTCATCTGATTCCCATGATCGAACAGTGCTAACAGGGCCATGGAGAGACGTAAAGAAACATCATGGAGAAGCTTTGGGTGGCGATTTCTTATGTGTTCATTGGAGGAGGCAAGACTTTGTTCACCATCACAGTTCGATCATCCCTTCAGTAAAGGGTGCAGCAGAACAGGTTTTACAAAGGCGATTATCCTTTGCATAATTAATGCTGATGTTGTTACACTACAGATCCTTAGGTGAAGACGAAAATGTCGTCATAATTTACAGATTTTGAAAATTCTGCGAGCATATAATTTGACACAATTATTCTTGAGTACAGACGCTGCAACTGAAGAGGTTGAGCTTTTAAAAAGCCATTTATCATCCGATGTGAGCGTTGAAAGGTATGAGCCGGAAGAAGAGCTCACAGATGGAGAAGTGTCAGTTATTGACCAAGTGTGTTATTAAGAGTCTTATATGGTTAAAATCCTAAATTCGTTATCATTGCAGCTAAGATTATTCAGTATTTCTTTTGATAGTGGTATATTTAGTGGGTATGTGCACATGCTCGTGTTTTTACTGGAACTCACTCTTCTACGTTTTCGTATCGCATACAAGAAGATAGAGAAATCCTAGGATTTCTCCCCAAAACGACATTTAATAATCTTTGCCCGGACGACAATGACCAGTGTGAGCAGCCTTCAGAATGGAAGATAACTTATGAGAATGCTAATTTTTAGCGATTTACTGCTGGTAGTACTGGTGGTAATCACATAGTTATAGTGAAGTTTTTTTAAACTATTTTTAATGTTATAAAGTGACTCAAAACACCAATCTTATTTTTAAAATGCTCGTTTGCTTTATATTTTTAGTTAGTGGTTTTTTTAAATATTAGGCGACAACGAGTCATCACGTAGTTTTACTGTTTTAACTTTCAACAGTTATAGAGATTAAAGGGTATTACTGAGTTGTGCTTAGAGACCAAAAAATATTGTAATGCTTATTTCAATAAGTTTATTATGTTTTAGTGAGAAAAATGATTTATGGCGATGTAAATTTGGCTCTTGAAGATGTAAAAAACTATAGATATTGTACATAGATTCTCAACGGTGCTATTTTCATTTGTACTTATGTCTTTATATTCTGTAAGCTTAGCCTTGTATTATTTTGCTCAGTTCGCTCATTTGGATACACTCTTATTATGCTTTGATCCCTTTTGCTGTATTTAAAAATTTTGCTATTTCTCTGCCAAGGTAAAAAACAGTAAGTGTTTTAGAGAAGTTTGACTCCTATATACTTCCAAGTACAGTGCAGAAGAAAGATGCAAAGGCGAGAACTTTTCAGATTGTTCAGAGGTCTGTTTTAGAACTCTACAATTTTCTAGAATGTGGTGCAACGTTATTACTGTTGTATCGCTTTATGAGTGTAAGTCCATACAAGTTCCTGTGAAGACGCATAAAATAAAATCTTGAATTTCAAGTAACACTGATTTTATACAGTGGAAGCGAAAATGGTGGAAGGCAACCAGCTGGTTGCTGCTTCGACACTGGCATTTCCCCTCCATATCGAAAAGAGTGTTGGGATACGGTAATGCATGAAAAACTGAATTTTAATGAATTAAAATGAACAGTCGTTCATGACAGCAAAAAAGGTTTCAAATTTCCTTATTGATAATTAAGAAAACAGTCCAGTATTTTTCTGGCTGAAATGATGCAAGTGCCCAAAAGATTTCATTCTGTTATCTCCGATTTTCAGAACAAGTTTCTTTGACGAGGTATTAATGCAGAACTGGCGTATGAAAGAGGCATTGATCAAAAATATTAACCGTTATAGCGGTCCGACGCTTTAGGTGATCTTTAGTCATTGTCCAGCCATATAATCACAAAATAATATTTCTTTTCTGTACGAAATTCCTAAATTTGATAATATTTATTAATTCTCTTCATCTGGCTAGCTGCCAGCTTATAAAAGTATATATAGGCGTTATAAAGTTATAAAAGTATATATATATAGGCGCCGTCATTTCTAATTTCCATTTC